ATTTGCAAACTAATTGTCAAAACAAACAAAACCCAAAATTTTGTAATGAATTAGTATTTGAGCGAAAAATTATGGAAATTATTGAGAATTTTGTGGAAAATAAGTAAAACTTTTTTCTAATAATTATTTGCATTTATTTTTGCGTTAATTTTGGCCACAAATGACTCCCAAAATGGGAAATCATTTACAAATAAATTTTAATCACTTTTTGTTGTCAATCATTGACTCTTCAATGCAAACACTGTTTAGGCTCTCGAGAGACGCCTCCCTTTCCTCCCGTTCCCCAAAAATGGAGACAAAGTTTCCGAAACAGTGTTTGAAACGAGAGTTGAATACTATTTGAGGAAATAATTGGCGAATAATTGGAGGAAAAAGAGAAACAAAACAACAATTGTTTTCGAAATGAAATCTAATCTCGAAAACAGTTTTTATATCAAAAAGAGATAAAAATTTTACATTTTTTGAGACAAACCTTAAGGTTTCGGCCAAAAGACGAAACATTTTCTGCGGTTTTGATGTCTTCTCTTGAGTCCAAAACAACGACAAACAGACAGAGAGAGGGAGAGGACTGACCCTCAGATGAAAGGGAAACTTGTTTTGAAAGGAAAGGCAGTCTTTTGACGGTTTTGGCGGAGTTTACAGTTTATAGTGACGTAAAAATACTGTCAAAACATTTCAATCACTTTTATTTATAGCGTTTTTCATCACATTTTCCAGACTTTCAAACATTCATTGCATTAAAGCTTTCGAAAACTTTTTTTTAATCCTTTCGTTACAAAAAAAGTTTTTCAAACTCTGATCACGTGTTTTGAAACTCATTTGACGTAATATTGAAACAATGGTTTCGCACACGAGGCGAACCCTGACCCCCGGAAACGCCCCCAAAAAGAAGTTTCCAAAAAATGCACAAAAATTAGCGAAAAGTTCGCGAAAAACAAATTGTCGTAAATTTTAGACATTTATTGCGTTTTTATTCGTTTATTGTTTTATTAATTGAATAGAGATTTGAAATTAAATATAGTTTTGAACTCAGATTTGGTTTCAGAAATCACAAGAAATTCTTGCCAAAGAAGTAGTAGTTTTCGTGTAATTCAAGTCAAGTATTGGATAACAAATGTATTGATTAGTGATTATATGAGTATTGTCTCCAACTATGAGATAATTTGTGTCCAAAAAGTGTGTTTCGGATCTGAAGAATGCAGTAATTATCGCATAATTACAAGTGTTTTACAAAACGATTACAAAAAACAATGAAAAGAGAGATAAAGAGAAGAATGAAATGAAAAGAAATTTTTTGGTTTTATTTCGAGAGAAGAGTTGAGAGAAAATGTCCGCAAATTTCGCGACTTTTTTACTGCTTTTGTCTCTCATTTCGAGACTCAATGGCGAGAAATGTGAGAGAATTTGGGCCAAAGTTTGCAAAGTTTTCAACCCTTTTGTCCCCAAAAACAGACACCAATTCGTTGGACACAAACAAAAAGGATATTCAAGTGGATGTCGGAGAAAGCGATTCCTTTGAACTCTTTGTGCGAAAGTGAGTCCAAAGAGTGGTAATGAGGAGATACTAAAGTGTTGTTTCAGCGAAAAAGCGCTGAACTTCTCGTTCGCAGTGACCGTCGGCTGCGACTCTTCGGACGGCAAATGCAAGACGTTTTCGCCGCGCGACTCAACGACCGTTACGTTCTCTCCGCTGGACTTCCGCTTCCGGTTCAACACAACGGCCACGACTGCCGGTCATGACGTCATCATCGCCCGCGTCGTCCGCAACGACACTCACGTCGAGTAAGTCATAGACAGAGAGACAACTTTCCTCTGAACCCTTCCCTCCTTGCAGCGACTCCGAGGCGTTCGTGCGCGTGCGCGTCGGCCGATCGCCCGTTTGGTCGGTGTTGGCCACAGTCGTCGGTTGGGTTTATTTCGTCATTTGGAGCGCAAGTTTTTGGCCGCAAAACATCTCGAACTTCCGGCGCAAGTCTGTCGTCGGCTTTAACCTCGACTTCGCCGCTCTGAACGTCACGGGATTCCTCTTCTACTCCATCTTCAACTCCGGACTCTACTTCTCGCCAAAAGTACAGGCGCTCTATGAGGAGGCGTTTCCGCGTTCGGAGATTCCCATAGAGTTCAATGACGTGGTTTACGCCTATCACGCGGCCTTCGCGACGGCCATCACTCTCATCCAGTGCTACGTCTATGAGGTAAGAGTGCGGACACAAAAGGGCGACAAAACTCACTCAAAACTCACAACAGAGGGGCGAACAGCGGATGTCTCTGTTGGGCAAAGTGTTCACAGGAGTCACGTGGACGGCGGCCGGCGTCCAACTCGTGCTTTGCTGGACAGGAGTCATGTCTTGGCTTACTTTCATGTATTACTTCTCGTACGTCAAACTCGTCGTCACTTCCGTCAAATACTTGCCGCAGGTGAGGAACGGGAGGAAAGGGAAGGGAATCCTACTATAAATAACCCCTCGTTTTAGGCGTACTTCAACTACAAGCGGAAGTCGACGCGCGGATGGAGTATTTGGATGATCTATATGGACATCACGGGCGGAATCAATGGACTCTTGCAGATGCTGTTCATTGCCTACAACTTCGGTAAGCAGTGAACAGAACTTCCGCTGAAACTGACAGCCATTCCCTCCTTTCAGACGACTGGAAGACCATTTTCGGGAACTTCGCGAAGTTCGGGCTCTCCGTGGCCTCCATTTCCTACGATATCCTCTTCTTCCTCCAGGAATACGTCTTTTACCGCAAACAAGACTCCAGTCTTCAGCCGCTGAACGAAGAGAAGAGGTTCTCGAAGAGCGAGCGCAAGAAGAGTCGCGTTTCCATCGTTTCGCTCACGAGTGAGAACCGCGAGTATCCGCGAGTGTCCGTCGACTACAGCGCGCTCTCCGATAGGCGGAAGTCCGCCGTTTCCGTCATTTCCGCCAAAAGCGTCGAGAGTTTCAAAAACGTCTTCACGTATTGACAAAAACTACTATTTATTCACATTTATTAAAGAGACAAACAATGGTTTGAAAAACAGTTTGTCTTTAAAATTATTCACGTTTTGATCGCTTTTTCTTCTTCTCTTGCGATCCTTCTGTCATTTTCTTCCTCTCGTCGTCTTTTTCCTCTGAAATGAGACAAAAAATGGGTTCAAAAGTGTCTAAAAGTGTTTAAAACTCACTTTCTTTGGGATCCATTTCTTTGCAAAGTGAGAAAAATGAGTTTATTTTCAGTCATTTTATAGTAAAATCTGTTTTGTATTTGATTTCAATTCTGAATTAAAAATTTGTAATTAATTAATGAAATGAAATGTCGTTTCCTTTCGAACACACTTTGGACTCAAGTATTGCCTCAGAAATCGATCTCCAATTCCGTGATTTATGCAAATTATTCGCGACTCTAAGGGGAAAGGGAGGGAACAGGATTTCAGTGAACGCGTGAAATGCCTTTTCGAGTGACAAATGAGAATGAAATCAAAACAAATGCACAGAATTTGGTCAAAAAACTCTTTCTTTTATTTCAAATCATTATTTATTCACATTTTGATCGGTTTTTCTTCTTCTCTTGCGATCCTTCAGTCATTTTCTTCCTCTCGTCGTCTTTCTCTTCTGCAAAGACAAAAAATGGTTTGAAAAGTGTCTAAAAGTGTTTAAAACTCACTTTCTTTCGGATCCATTGCGAGTGAAAACAGATTTTAAAATAAATCATTTTTTTTATAGATTTCTGTCTTGTATTTGATTTTAATTAAAAGTAATTAATTAATGAAATCAATACTTAATTAATAATTAGTTTTTCATTTCAAACTTTGGACTCAAATATTGATCTCTTATTCTGTAATCGAAATTCTTTACTAAAAAATCGTTCAAATATTTCGAGAATTTGTGGGGAAAAGGATGCGAAAGATGGGAACTGGAGCTCAGAGATGTAGTGAAATGCGAATTGCGTCACGAATTGCAAATCAGATGCGAAATCGAGAGAAATATTTGAAATATCGTCTCAAATGTCGACCGAATTCTTCAGTTGTCTTTCGAAACGATATATTCGGACAAAATGAGGAAAAATTGTGTCAAAAGTGTCGATAAAAACAACTTTTATTGAAAAGAAATGTTAAGAGTTTGTGATCACATGACAGGCGATAATCAGTCGATAATAATCGGCAGAAAAACCTATTCTTTCAGTACTTCCTTCTTCTTCGCCAATAAGTTATTCTCTGTTTTCGGCGCCAAAACCAAACGCCAAATGCGGCGCCGATTATGAGCGCAATGGCGACCAAAACGCACACAACGACTGCCCAGAGCGGGAATCGCCAGCACCGGTAGCTCTCGTACGGGTAGTCCAGACAATAGATCGTCACTTCGTTCACTTCCGACGTGAAGACCGACAGACGCGTGACGTCAGAGGAAAGACATGTTTTCGAGACGTCGTCCGAAACGCAGTCGAAATAACGCCAAGTATTGCAACAGACCTACAATTAGTGGGCGTTTAGGGACTGGGAGGCAGTGGACAGGGATTACCAGTTGTTTGTATTTCTCTGACTCCTGATTGGCTCCGATTTCGGGCGGAATTCCGTCAAAAGAATTCAAATACTTTTTGTGACAAAACTTTTCGTCGATTTCTTGAAAGCATTTGACGTCTAAATCGAAAAGCGTTTGAATTGTGGAAAAATCGGGACTTTTTTCGTCGGATTTCGCGATAAAAGCGAAGAAAACAATGAGAAAAACGAGAGAAAAAACAGACATTTTTCTCGCAAAGGATTATCTCTGAAGCCATAGAAACCGCTGAGGAATGGGAACGACTCTCTCGTCGTACA